TAGTAAAAGTGGATATTTAATTCAGTCTGCTTGATTTGGTTCAACAATGAGGTATTAATTTTGATTGCCTTGCAGCGTAAATATAGTTTATTTTGATCTCTATTGTGCTATGGTAAGTATGATGCTGATGTTAGCCAAATTTTCAAGAGGATATGGTACAAAGGGCGACGTGTTTGCTGTCTTCAGGTCCTTTCTATCTGATTAGTTATGATAAGGGGTGTGCGATAGACTTACCTCCATGTGGTGCACCCTGGGCAACGTATACTCATACGGCAAAAAAGTCTATTAATCGGCAGTTGACTTCTAACTTCAAACTACCATCACCCCACTGTATGTCATATTCGACTATTTTCACAGTACTCACCTCACCTTTTTTTCTACCTTTGTGTTTGACTCTTTTATATCTTTGAAACACTCTACTGTCCCCCCCCCCTTCTCGAATATTTTTCACTTTGAAGTCACCTAAAGGGCTAATGAAACTATCAAAATGCCTGCCATTTGATATAAATAAAAGTTATGACAATGAAGACCCAGTCTATTTAGATGACAACAAACCGCCCGTTTGGAACCAATATTAAAAGGCGAATGAACGCTGTATGCACTTTCAGGTAGAAGGAATAATTCAATAATGCGCAGCTATTCTGAGCTTTAGCGTCAGAGTAAACAAGGACCATTCAAATTTCTACCGAATTCTCTCTTTTTGGTCTTTACCTCATCAATATCACTTTTCAGCACATTGCCATTGTAATCGCAAACAATAGAAGCTGTGCCAGATTATATGAAATTATTCTCCTAAAAAATCGATTGAAAAAGTGAATCGAAATCATGGCAAAATGAACTCGGGAATTTTTTTCTCTTCTAGCCAATTACTCTGATAGGCTTTATTAAGCGCGAAGCTCTATCGGCTTAAAACTGATCGAATAGATGGAAGAAGGTGTTGAACCGAACAGAATGTACTCAGCATTTGAAAGCTCTTTTGTTGTGAACTCCACTTCCCCGACCGGCCTCTGACCCGGTTCCATGTGGTGTGGTTGATTCTGCAGTTAATTCGACATATGTCTATTACTACCCACTTGGATGCCTTTAGCTTTGCAGACTCACATGAAAGCCTTCCCCCCTATGACAGTCTTATCAGTCACTAAATGGGAGAAGTGATAAAATTATCCCAGGGATTGAATAAATCGTGAAACTAAAAATGGCCAATTTATTCCAACTCCTTGATCTGACAATTGGTTAAATTGGTTCTGACAATTTCATATGGATTTAAATCATCTATTTAAATTAGGCTTGAGTACGGTTCTCAATGCCTCAGTTTTGAAATTATTTCAGCTTTTACTTATACTATAAGTTTACTCCGCTACACATCAAATTCCATTGTTCCATTTCACTGAAAAATACTTGTAATGGTTTCAGCGATTAATGTCTTGCTGATAAGCTTGTGAGCTGAAAAAACCAGAAACTCCCAATCTAAACCATAGAATAGAATCAACGGTTCTATCGAATTGTGGTTTATGCACAACCGCTAGATGTACTTTTAGAGGGATAGATAGAGAGAGAGAGAGAGAGAGTAGTTGGAGGGAAATGTCAAATACAAATATCAGAGTAGAAGTTATTAAAAATAACACAATTCGTTCAAGGAATTAACCTTGTCTCATCTCGTTCACAGCGAGCTATCTCTATCATTTTCAACACATTTGTATTGTAATTGTGAAGTTTAAATGATATGGTATGATAAGTGATATGCAACATGCAATTTAATCTTTCCAGAACCCAGATAAAAACGGACAAACTATGACCAGAGTTTCAGGCACAACGCTTAATAGTAGTAACCAGTGCTTACTTCAGCAAATTTCCATTGTCTTTTCTCTTATCGAAGCACCCAGTTATTGGATTTGCACTGCACTTATACATGAAGTACCATTATTTGGTGACACTGGATGCTATATTTGACCCTTAATGGGTTCATTAGTAATAATGCCCATTTGCTTACAGCTAACTTTGGAGATGTGTGTGGAGATTGCAACATTGTAGCTGCATTAATCGTACTATAAGAGGTATCTGAAGTGGTCATAAAAGGGCCAGCAATGATGGAACGATAGTGTAAATGGTATTCATATTTATTTATTTATTTATGTCAAATGGCAGGCGTTTTGATAGTTATCATTAGCCCTTTGGCTGACTTTGGGCTTCACAGAGGGGAGGAGGAACATCAAAGTGAGAAGTATTCGGGAGGGAGAATAGAAGAGTGATTCACAGATGTAAAAGGGTAAGATGAGTACTGCCGAAGGGGTCGAATATGACATACAGTGGGGTGATGGTAGTTTGAAGTCAGCTGCCGGTTAATAGACTTTTTTGCCGTATGATTATACGTTGCCCAGGGTGCACCACGAGGAGGTAAGTCTATCCCACACCCCATGGTATTCATATTATCTGTAATCATTGTGAACTCACGTATTCAGTACATTTCACCTGATCTATTTAATTTGGGCTTTGTTGTACCAACTCTAATTCTAGCATTTTACGTATATACGTACGCTTAAACAGGCTGCAAAACGCTTTCGTTCGCGCATTCTCAAAATACTCCAATTCATATCCTCTCTAAAGGTTTCAAGGCATTTTTTAGTTATTTACACACCGTTTGAACGGTAGAGCCAAAAGAATTGGGAATGAGATCCAGCAAATCGATTTAAGCAGGCACAAATTTTGTCCATATTTACAGGTGAGAATGTTGATCCTGGTTATGTATTTCGTGCACAGATATAACCAAATAAGGATAAGTAGGAACCATCGGATCAACTGGCATTTAATCAATCCTCTTTTCTAAGCGAGGATATTGCAAATATAAGCATGAAGGTCTTAACAACCTTCCTTTGCACAAGTTGGTGTTTGAAAATTTCAACATAGAACGAGGATTCGTACTTTAATACACAATTACGAAGTCAATGAGCAGAACATAAGACCTTAAATCCGTGACATAGTGAATGAATAGTTAGAGCGGTAAAGGATTAGTGAATCTCAGTTGTCATAGTAGACTAATTTTAAAACGCGGTTTCGGGAACCGTGTTCTTCGCATGACAAGTTTTTGTTACAAGATGATATTTGAATAAGTGGCACAGGGGGGGGGGAGGAGGTGTTCGACAAATAGTCTACTTTATCTTAATTAGGGAGGGGTGCGTGATAGACTTACCTCCACGTGGTGCACCCTGGGCAACGTATACTCATACGCCAAAAAAGTCTATTAACTGGCAGTTGACTTCTGACTTCAAACTACCACGACCCCCCTGGTTGTCATATTCGACCCTTTCCACAGTACTCACCTTACCTTTTTCCCTACCTTTGTGTCTGTCTGCCTCTTTTACATCTGTGAATCACTCTTCTGCCCCCCCCCCACCCCTCGACTTTCTGCTACTTTGATTAACCTTCCCTCTGTGAAGCCCGAAGTCAGCTAAATGGATAATGATATCTATCAAAACGCCTGCCAGGGGTGTGCGATAGACTTACCTCCACGTGGTGCACCCTGGGCAACGTATACTCATACGGCAAAAGAGTCTATTACCTGGCGATTCACTTCTGGCGCAGTCCTCATCCTACCTTTTCTCTGCCTTCATGTCTGTCTCTTTACATCTGTAAATCACTCTTCTGTTCCCCACCCCTCGACTTTCTGTCACATTGTTGTTCCTTCCCTCTGTGAAGCCCGAAGTCAACTAAAGGGCTAATGATAACTATCAAAACGCCTGCCATTTGAAATAAATAAATAAATCTTAATTAGGGAGCATTAAGCTGTCCGTATTTCTTATGAAAGGGGAAAAGTTTACCTTCTAATGTTCTAATATTAAGCCCTCATAAATTGACGCCGAGGTTAATGGGTGAGATTACTATCACTATTTTATTGATTATCGAATTGTTGTCTTAATTCTTGCATGCTTTTACAGTCAAATGAAGGTTGATAAGATGGTTATAATCAATCAGCACAGTTCACTCAAAGCGAAAAGTGCCCTGCTACTTAACAGCAAATCATACATAAAGTTACCATTAAAAGTCCGTACCCTTATGCCGTATTTGATATGGCCCAATAGAAACTAAAGGTCTTTAATCTTTCATAATTTCAAAGGGGAAAAAATTTCCATAAATCTACTTCCAGATTTACACTGGCATTGCGCATGCGTCTCACTCTCATTGTGCTAGAGGTGCGTTGGATTGCGTTGCTAGCAGACAAACACGAACGCGGAACTGAAGAGCTAGCCTGCGCCTATACTTTGCAAATGAGAGCTTACTTCACAGCAGAATCCGAGAACTTAAGCAGGCAACAAACATCACTAAGCCTACGCGTCCCATGCTACATAAGCTTCATGTGGTACTTAAGTTGACTTATGCTGCTTTTCAGCATGTGACAGAAACCTACACAGTACAATACAGTTTGATCAGATTGAGCCTTGATGCGGTTCACGCAGAAAAATAACACAAATTAAACACGAACCAAGCCACTGTTCATTGCATAGACAGCGCAGCACACATGACCTGCAGTGAATTCGAATTTAATTATATTGGTACAAAATAGCTCGAACACCAGAGATTTAAATTACTGATACAAACATGGCCTAGAATGCCCTCTTGAGAGGAGCCCTTAAAATGTTCAACCAAAATCTAGAAGAAACAAGAGACAGATAGAATGAATATGGATACATTCAATGGGACCATAGAAAAGACCACTATTCAAAAGAGTATACACAAAAGACAACAAGAACGGCGGAGACTAAATGGGTTCATTGAGGGTGAGTAAAGGGCGGAAAGAGAAGGGAAAGAGTAGATTCAACATCGTGGCATAGTATAAAAAATAGGATAGACAGAATGAATGAATGATAGAGAGAGACTAATATAAAGACAATAAGAAAATGAGGAATTATGACGATGGAATACCACAATATGTTATTTAATAAATGCAACTTAACACGCACAAGCACACCACAACTGTACAGAGTTAATCAAATCGATTTATTGATTTATTCGTCCTCATCTTCTTCAACAACTTCTTCCTCTTCCTCGTCACCGTTTTCTGCAACAGCGTCACCACTTCCGGTTTCCGGGTTAGATACGGTGGAATTGTCTGGTTTCGCCTGTTTCTTTGGTGGAACATAAAGGCCTTGGCGATACTTATTCATATCCTAAAAATAAATTTGGTAAATTAGAAAGAAAATAAGCAAGTAAAAGGTCCTAAATAAACGAATTACCTCTTCATAACGCTGTTTATCCTGCTGGGCAAGAAGATCGTACTTCGATTTGTCAGTACATTCTTCCCACCGTCGGCCCAATTCTTTTGAAATATCTCCAACCTTCCATTCGGGATGTTCATCACGAACTTCCTGACGGAAATCGTCGCAAAAGAAGAAGAACGCAGATAGAGCACGCTTTGGAAGAGTTGGATCTCTAGCCGCCTTCCTCTTTTTGCCCTTTTTGACTCCTTCTGGAGGAACGTAATCGTTCATTTCACGATTGTAACGGTCCTTATCCAAGGCAGCCATGTCTTCAAACCGTTTCTTCTCTTTGGGAGTCATTATCTAGAATGGTAAAAGCTGTCTATGGAAAATAGTTCACAAACCTTCCAACGTTCAGCGCATTTGCGAGAAAAATCACTGAAAACAATGTGTTCACCAGGATGTTTTTTCTTATGCTCTTCGCGAATTACTTGAACGAAACAAGCGTATGCTGACATTGGCCCTTTGGGCTTATTCTTATCTTTAACAACACGGCTCATTGTAATCTAAAAGCAGAAATAGCAAAGCGTTAAAAAGGCCCCATATGCAAAAGCCCTAGAATATACGCAGCCTAACCGTACCAAGCAAACCTATACAGGGCTGTATGCAGAGAGCTAGGCTTAATGAATATAGGCTACGTAGGCTTGAATCAATCTGTATGTAGACAAATTGGACCAATCAAATTAAAGGTACGCTACGTAATAAATTATTATAAAATTTGATATTTATGAAACACCACGATATTAATAATTATAATACACTTATGGATTATTAGTTGATAAGTATTACGACACTTTCTAAAAGATGAATGATAAAAAGGAGATAAAATTGTTTTAAGCAGTTATGTAACTAGCGCTATTGACGAATAGAAGGCCTAGAATGGATGTTAAGTTGAAAAATACTTTCATCAAGTTATTTTATTCTACAAATGAACGGATAGCATGTACCGTTGAAGTTAAAAGCATTAATAAAGTTAGGAAAAGGACAAAATTTCTGGCTTTTTCAAGTATGTTGCATTATATACATATATGCTAGTTAGTTTCAATGGGAAAACCTGTTACAATACAGATATACATGGTAAAATCGAATGAGAAGTATGAATTTACAAAAAAGCTTCTTATGAGTTCTCAGACTCTAAAGGTTTTGGACTGCCACGATGTGTCGGAGCATCCGTCGTACGAAATAGAGTTGAAAACAGATTCTAAGGTATCACCTTATTGACTTTGACTTTACTTAATAGTCAAATAGATATGATTGTAACCTTGCTTTCTTTTGTAGTCGTGGAAGGTTACTGCTATCCGTCTAGAGGAGAAGAAACGCTTTGTTTCCATGTTTTGTCGTGCAGTGGCTATTTATCAACCTCAAGTTTATCGGGAAATTATGCTGAAAAATCTTCCTGAGGGAATTGAATTTTCTACAAGCACACCAGAATCACTTGAAATTTCAATCAGTAGGGTCTTTTTCTGTCATAAATAATTTTTAGATGAATTTTGGGGTGATCCATCGTTCGTATCTGATATTTCTGACGACTCTGCTGTTGGCCAAAAGAAGGGGGATGGTTATAACACCCTTACTGATCGCGAGGAATCCGATTTGAAGAAATTTTTTGATGACACATCTTCCGAAGACATATTTGATGCTGATTCTTTGATGCAAAACCTTCAGAAATACCTATTTGATGCGGAAGGCGTAAGTAACTAAGAAAATGGGGAGCTAAGCATAATTTCGGCAAACTAATTCTATGCTTATGCTTTCCTTTCAGAGTAATGTTCATTTTATTGTGGAATCGGAGCAAAAAGTGGTATCCTTAATTAGCGCCTTGGATATGGCATTAGAAGAATTGGATACTATGGAAGCGAAGTTGGATGTTTACCATCAATACATTGCTGTAAGTACTTTTGTTTCTTCGCACTTTATTTATAAATAGCTTTCTGTCCTCGTTTTATTCTTGAACTTATCTTGGTAAAAAGATAAATTCTGAGTGTTCTCTCTGTTTGTTAATAGTTCTTCTTTTTTTAGTATTGATAACTTTCTTTCAGTCAGGGCAATGTTTTAGCCCTTGAAAGTTTCTGTAAATTTTATCCGCTTTAAATTATGTTTTTTAGAATTCCTGATCTATGTGAACAATTGATTTTTTCTCGTGCCTGCACTTTAGCCCTTCCTACATTTTACATTTTGATACTTTCCGTTTTTCGCCGGAAAGACTATTTGTCCGCTCTAAATCAAAATTATTGTTATAATTATCAGCTGAGTTTGGTTGATAAAAGCCGTAAACTTGACGAAAGAGAATACAGTTAGTTTTAGTGTATGTGGTCTTATTTCTGTGAATTGCCAAATAATTGATGTGTGCCTATGATCCAGATTATTTCCAGTAATAAATACTTCCTCTTAGTACTCTAAAGCGGCCTTTTCTGACAAATAGGATGTGGAAGAGTCCATGTCAGGTCTTCAGGATCGTGACCAACTGGCACAAATCACTGGTGATAATCGTCGTCTCCTGCTAGATACTCTTGAGCACATTGTGGCGAGTCTTTCAGTAAACGCAGGTGTCCTGCGTACTTTGGAGGAGGAAGCGGACTTTCTGGATATTGAACGTTACAAAGAGGCGGCATCTTGTCTGGATGCTCTTTTCACAGCTGAACGAATTCCTGGTAAGTTCATTATGTTTTAAGCCCTTTTATAGCTATCCTTTACTTAGTCCTCTTTCTCGGCACTATAATTTCTCTTGAGATTTAGTCGGTAATTCCTGCACAAGCCCTCACTTTGTAATAAAGACTACCTGATGGTCAGCACCTTCCTTTATTTCCTTTGTTTTACTTCCATGACCATGATTGACTACATACATCACTGCGTTTTCGAGCTTTTCGTTATAGATCTGTTGAATTATTTCACTACGTCTCTTCCTTGTTAACGGATTCTGTCCTGATTTATTGATATTAAATAATTGCGCCTAGAAGCTTAGGGCTTACCCACTTTCAAATGACCGATTTGAGCTTGTTTTTTACCGTCTCTTTCCTTCTGCTTATGGTCGGCCACTCTCTCTCTCTCGCGTTTAAATTAACTTCTCTTCCAAAGATTCCGTTTTCTCATCTTTCAGTGGTATAATTAACTCAGTTACGGAAGTTTTGTTTTTTCCTAACGTTTAGGCGGCACCTCTTTTGCTGTATGTGCCCTTTTTTGAACGATTTTTGGCCACCTTGGTGATAGAAGTGTAAGAAACGTAAGAACGCGCTTGCTAGTTGCTTTACAAAATTTTGCAGCCCGGACTCGTGCTTTATTTTGCACTTATCAATTCGTTTTCCTAACATATATATATGCGATTATTGTGAGAAATGACATCATATTTTCATTCGTGTCACCTTGATTTCTTGGGATATTTCTAGAGTGCAAGATTTACATTCGCTAGTATTTTTCATCTAATAGCTCTTAATGATCCTTCTCTTGAATCCCCAATACAGGTGAAGAGCATTTGAAAGCCGTTTCCGATAAGACCATGGAGCTGACATCCCTTCGAGACAAGTTTGCCAGTCGCCTCTCCCACCAGGTGAACTCCATGGTTGTTCGGTTTAGCGCCCAGCTCATGCGAATTGCACCAGTTGTCACTGTTGGAGGCAACAGCAGCTCAGGTGGAGTGAGTGGAAGTGTTGCCGATCTCACCGGTAGTGGACGTCACCACCGTCTCCACGTTCCTGTAGGTGGAAGTGTACTGAGTCTCTCGGGATCGAAGTCAAATCTACTGGGGTCAAATGGTATGAGTGGAGGTGGTGTCAATCTTGGGCATTGTTATGAACTCCTGGACGTACAACGAGCGGAATTGCTACAAATGTCATCATTGGTTGGTGGGTGGTTGCAAAACAACAGAACCGATGTCTTTCGTACATTGAAGAAGGTTAGTTTGGCAGTTTAACTGATTTTTATGGATGAATGTCTGTTTTTTCGTCAATATCTCAAATTTCCCAAGATAAAAAACTCTTATCTTCGTAATTATAAAGCCTTTGAGTCGAAAGTTACGTAATTAATGTGCGTGCATTAGATTGCTATTGAAGATGATGAAACTATTCTCTAGAGGAAGTGGTGATGGAAGGTATTCGTGGTCGGTGTTTTAATATCATGTTAATCGTCAACCCCTCCCAACCCCCCTCCCCCCTCCTCCTCTTTACCTTAATTTAGAACTGAATTGGGTCGTTTTAAATATTTATTTATTTCAAATGGCAGGCGTTTTGATAGATATCATTAGCCATTTAGCTGACTTCGGGCTTCACAGAGGGAAGGTTCATCAAAGTTGCCGAAAGTCGAGTGGTGGGGAACAGAAGAGCGATTCACAGCTCTAAAAGAGGCAGACAGACACAAAAGTAGAGAAAAAGGTAA